CCAGGAGACTGGGTGAAAACAAAGGAATCGAAGCGGGTAATACCCCTGAATAAAGATCAAGTGATCAGCAAAGGTATCACTGGAGAAAGACTTTAGAAAATGCAAATACTTCTTGTATCTTTTTTATTTAGTAAGTCAAAAAGAACTGAATTCAAATACTTTAAACATTTAAAAACATAATAAGTATTTATTGTATTTCTTATATATAATATTATTTAATTTATCTAGAGCCTAATAGGCCCCACTTACTTTCCAGGGTATCCGATAGTGCGCCTTGGGGCCATTGCTTTTCAGGCCATTGGTCTTATCGCACTGTAAAAACAAAGACCCTGGAAAAGGGATCATATGGCTGAGCCAAGATCTGTTGAGTTCAGTTCGGTTTCGGTTTAGTTCTCTAGCCGGGGCCTGGACGTGAACCCGAGACACACTTGCAGAGTGTGCTGGGCACAAGTGCCGGGTAACCAACCAACCTAGGGACGGGGGTTCTGGGTTCAGGGGCCAAAGACCGAGGGCAATTTTCTTCAACAATTATGGGGTGAGATTGTGTGATCGTGTCTCCTCGTCTCACAATTTCATGTTAATTTCCTTCTTCCACAGCCAGAGCAGCATTTATCGCGCTGTCTTCGGGTTTACGACCCATCATCATTGTCGTCCTCATCCCTCGATTGTCACCTATTCGGTTGGTTTTTCTTTGCTGAATTCGCATCCAATACCAGTGCTCCCTTTTACTCCCTTTTATGGAGCTCAGTTTGTTCTTTGTCTTCTTGGATTTTTTTAATATCTCTATAAAATCATGTTTCCTTTTTTGGTCTGAAGCTAGTTTTACGATCTGTCCCTGCTACCAAAAAAAAAAAGAAAGAAAAGGCGGACCAAGTTATGATTCATTGGTGATCCCAGAAGCACCTGCCACCTGGAAATATATATTTTCAGCGGTCACTCAGGTGTGACCCGTTGCTAATGAGCTGGAATCTAAACCGGATTAGGATCGTTGTGATAGCAATTACCCAGCATTGAGGGTGGAAAGAAGATTGCTGTAGCTATACGTTGAGAGATCTTTAGTAATTATAACTATTGATATATAACCTCCAACTGGAGAGAATCTTTCATCATTTAATTTGCTGATTTTTTTAAACAAAGACTTGCCTCTTTTGGTCAATTGATTACCCAATAAATGCCCAACAATGGTCACTTGGTATAAGCATTTTGTCACACAATTTGTATTTAACCTTTTAAGGGAAGCCAGAAAATTACTTTGCTTAACTCGAAATATTGTTGTGTGTAGGTTGTATGTGTATATATTTTGTATCCTTCAACTGCAGACATGATTTAAGCATCGCATTTCCAGTGAGCTCTATTAGCATGCAGGTGTCAATTGGCCAAGACGATTGGCAAACCTGTCACATTAACAAGAAAACCCGAAGGAGTCGGCCGCCAGGCAAAAGTAAAAGTGAATCCATCGAAGCTTCAGACCAGGCTTACTCCACTTTCCATATATATATATATATATATAGATTTACCCGTGTGCATTCCCAGCAAACTTGACTTACTAACTGACGGATCGACTAGGTCAATAGAAACCAGAAGTCGATGGGGAGGAGACTGTAATACACTGTTAAAAATCTGCGACTATTTAGAATGTTTACAAATTAATTAAGAAGCATTTTAAAAGGGATTTTCATTTTATCAATAATGCTATCATGTTATAAATTTAATTAACAAGTTTTGTAATTTAAACTCGTAATTAATTGAATGCAATTTGAATATTATTTCTATTTAGTTTTTTTTTAATGTATTTTTACCCCTTTTTGTTGGCTAAAAATATATTTGAAATTCTGTTGAAATTTGCTGTAATTTCTTGATATATTTCTGTATTCAATATATTTCTCTCAGTGCAATTATAATTTGCTATTGCTGCTACTTCAGCTCAACAAGTTCCGCGAGACTGCTTCCAATTATGGCGAGGATCTGTTTGCAACATACACCAAAAAGTCAACTGCTTTGGGATCTGGCCTGAACTGGGTTTTGGCTTGCTTTTTGCTGCCTTTCTGGCTGGCCAACTTGCTGTTGGCCCACTACTGGTCTTAGACAGTCTGGCGGCTTCCAGTTGGGTCAAGACAATGCGTGGATGCAGCTTAAAAGTGGCCAAAACCGTAGACATATTGACTTTAGATTTCAACATTGAATGAATTACAATGATATTAATATATTGATTTAGACTAAAATAATGCATTTATATATAAAACTATATAAAGTAAATCAAAAACTTTTATAAAGGTCAACTAAATAAAATATGTATACATTTTTTTTTAGGTTCACTAACGTCTCTTTAAAAATAAAAAAATACAAATTGAAATTCATTCCTCCCATTTCTCTTTGTAATTCTCTTATAAACTTTTCATTAGGGTATCGCAAGGCATAGCAATTTGAGTTTCACTACTTACTTCAACGACCACTAACTCATGCATTATGCTTAATTATAGTTTATTTATTTAATAAGCCAACGTTGTGGTCTGCTCCTGTCCCCTATGATTTCATTTTGCGCTTTAAGTTTTCGCAGCTTTTTGACTAGTTTTTTTTTGTGATCAAAACTTTAATTAAATCGTTATGCAAAAGTTCCACTTGTCGCTGCGGGTACTGGACATATAATTTAGGATTGTGCTGGATTCAGGCAAGTGCCTGTGAGATATAGATTAAAATATGAGTTATTCGGGTGCCAGATCATGTTTTTCCGACTCTTTTTAAGTTTTTTTTTCTTTGGTTGAGCAAAAGGCATAAATTGGGGACTTAAAGTGATACAAATGGGGTTACTATTGATTTGATTTTGGATATAGTTATCCTATTATAATTAAGTATGTTATTTCTTTTATACAGTCTTCGATAACAATATTCAAAAATCATAAAATTCAATCATATTTATACGGAAATAATCTATCAACATTTTAGCAGATTATTATACAAAATAAATTGATGAATTATTACAAGCGTGAGTATAATTTTTCTACAGAATGTTTTGGTATTCATGGCAGTTTGAACTCTCACTGATAATTTTAATTGAATTTTAATTAGGGTTCAGGGGCTTATCAGTCACTTTGGGAGAATGTTCAACTGAATTCCCAGCAATCTGATGGCCATAAAAAATAGTTTTAAATAGTGACAGGAGAATAATGTTTACATGGAGCACCGTCGACAGCTGCAACTGTATGCTGTTTCCTTGACTTGGCGGCCCACCTGCGTTTTGAATTTCGCACCTTTCGGCAAAATGCGTGAATCATTCGTGCCCAGCCAGCCAGGTGACTTAGTCATCATTAGTGAAAAAGTTGCACTAGAAAATTGTGTGTCCAACTGTAGAAATTCCATTGGCATAAGTCGGCGTTAAAGGTTCTTTTTTTTTATAAGAAATATACATGAAACCAACTTCGTAAATGCTTATAAAATTATTCAAATACTTACTTAAATAGTAATAGATGAAAATAAATATGTTAGAAAATATATATACAGAATTACTTGCAATTTGTTATTATATTTATACCCTTTCTCGGTATCTGGGCACTAACAGCCCTGTCGATCTAGCTATCTTCAAGAGAATATAAAAACTAAACAATTTTTTTTTTTAATTTTGATGGGTAAACATTTTTAATTGTTGTAAATTTTAACTTGAGAATGCAATAAATCTGCATTAAGTTAAGTTTAAGTTATAAGTTTTTTAAACTTACATTTTCATGAACAAATTGTAATATAAAACTATCGATAAATATCGATTAAAAAAAATGCCAATATATTATGCTTAGTTTTAATCAATTTCCAATTTGATTCTATAATTCAATTTTAAACTGCAAGGATATATAAACTTTTCATGTTTTCTATATTTTCAAAAAACCTTTGAAAATAAGTTGTTTATGTTTATTGAATTACAAAATGCAATACTTGAAGCTTTTAATAATAAATTCTCTTGGTCAGCTTTGTGTATTAATTTTCTGTATTAATTATGGGTAAAATGTACATTTTTAAAGCTTTAGTAACATAAAATGAATTTGTTTTTTTTTTTTTTTGAAGACAATTGATGAACCACCAAATCAATTGGGCCAAGTTGAAGCTGGTGTATATCTTAGCTTTGGTACACAGCTTCTCTAAGTCTGGACCTGGGGCTCCCCAATGCTCGACCAGATGGCGAGGGTTCGATAGGGAGAGCTCAAGATGCTGATGCTGGGGACGGGGACGGGGACGGGGACGGGGACGGGAGGGACAGAGACTCAAGTTGAAGTGCAGAAGAGCCTCAAAATGCTGCGGCGCATGCGCAGCGAAGCCGATGTCGGCTTATTTATGGCCTTTTTGGTTTGGGGCCCTGGGTTCTTGTATGTTAGTATGTATATATTTTCTCTGTTGGTTTTCGTGTTTTTTTTTCTTTCGTTCTTTATTCCTTTTTATTTTTATTTTATTTTGTTTTTTTTTGCTCTTTAGGTTCATTGGCTCTTCTTGGTTTGCTTTTTGTTGAAATGCATTTATGGTCTTATTTCGTTGTAGTGTGTGTGTGTATTCCTCGTATATTTATTTTCTTTATTATTATGTGCGCACAGAAGAGGAGAGAAATTTTCACAAGGCGTCGCCAGTTTGTCTGGCGTGTCTACCCTGCCCTGCCCTGCCCTGGGCTGGTTCCTTTCATTTTCTGAGTGCCGTGCTAATGATCTTGATTCCCTAACTGACAAATTCTACGGACCTCAAAAGTTATTTTCGGCTAGGTATTGGGAATACTGAAGGCTAATAATCATAAAATAAAAATCGAATTAATAAGTGTTTGATTAAATATTTCAAAATATTTTAAGAGTAGTTACCGAATTATTCACTTTGTAAACCAATTATTGATTGATTACAAATGAAAAAATCTAATTGCATTATTTGATTAAACAATAACCAAAATATAAACAATCGAATTTCTTCCATATACATGATATATTTTAATCATAAAATGTGAAAGAAATGTTTTTAACTTCATGTACATTGTATTCTTATTTTTGTTTTTGCTTTTTTTTATCACGAAATCAGTAACATATTTCATGTTTCACCATTTTTCCTATGTCTTTAAATATCGAATTTTCAATACTCCACCAAGCTCGCTCTGAACATAAAATAAATTGGAATATAAATAAATAAAGTTCATGATAAACATATATATTTTTTTATTCAACTTACCTCATCGACATCACCAAAGTAACCACTATCAACATGGATTTCAATAGGATTATCCAACGTAGTGCGACTAAATCTTAAAAAGGAACAGCTTCCAGAAATATATCTTTTTTGACCATTCGACATCCGAAAATGTAAAGATGGCGCAGTTTTTTGCATCTATATATCACCATCATGACTCCACTGTTAGTGATGCCTGATTGCTGCAAGTTTAGCTGCTCCAGGTTCTCCAAAAGGGATATATAGTGAATAAAACCATCGCTTCGCACCCGACATTGGAGTACCTTTAGAGCCTTTAGCTCCATTATTATACCAAGCTCATCAACATTTATGTATCGAGGACGATTGATCATGAGGTTTACTGGGTAAAAACGTAACGACTCCAAGGTTTTGCCATAATTGTCAACCGATTGTCCAAATACTTCGGTGAGATCTACGCTTGAAGTGCCTTCAATTGTCAAATATTTTAGAGTCGGCAAGTAAGGCAGCGGCGTGTAAAATTTCCCATTGTAAATTCTAAGTGATTCGATTTTCGGCCACAATTGTTCGCCAGCATAGTTTTTAGGCATTTTAAAGACAGCGAACGTCAATTCCAGCTTATTTATGCTCTTCATTGGAGAAAAAATTGTAAATGTATCAAAGAGTGTATATAATTCGGAGTTTATTATAGTCAATTGAGTCAAATTCACAAGTTTGCCAAATCCTTGCACTAAAGAGTTCAATAAATTTGATTAAAATCGATTTTGTTTTAGTTTTTCCAATTCCAAAATATACTTACAATCTTTATCGATGAACCCGCTTAATTTTAAGCATTTCAGCTTGGGCATTTTCAGCAGTGTATCAACCACATAAGCCTCCCCATAATAATCCTTCATAATTCCAATCCATGACAGATTTTTTAGAGCCAAAAGCAGCGGCTTAATTTGATTCCAGGAATTGCGTCGAACGGGAAAGTGGAATTCCTTTAGGTTGGGACAGTATTTGGAGGCTAGCTCGATCACAGTCAGGGAATTGTCCTTTTCATTGGTTAGGATCGTGGTAACGGAGGATCCACACAGGAATAAAATGTCTGACCAATCCGTGATTGGTCGGTCCTTAATTTCGATCTTCTTGAAAATATCGCCGGCGTGGAAGGCGAATGCTTTTCCAAGATAGTCATTGGCCATGGCCAGATTCAGCTTATCTCTCATATCCGGTATTGACTTGTAAACCAAATTCAGAACCTCCAACGGAAGGTTTAATATATTACGAGATGACATTTCCTTTAGCTCTGGATCAAAAAATTTTGCAATCGACTCCTTTGACAGTTGCACAGTAACTAAACTTTGTTTTGCCAAATGCCTTTGTTTGATTCTCATCAACTCAACAAATTTCTCTATAAACAGATCAGCCACATTGTTATTTTGTAGCTAATTTAGCGACATTTTAGATATAAAAAAGCTAACAATGTCATACCAAAAAAATTGGTTATCTTTTTATTGTCATATATTTATCATATAACAGTATATCATATCTACTCACAATTGCAATTTTAAGATTTTTATTAATTGCATTTTGATAGTTCATTGAAATATATATCTTATTATTATATACATAAATATAAGATTCGAGATTTATTTAATCTAAAGTTTTTGTTTCATTTCCATTGTTTCAATTATGTGCTCAAAAGCTCGAGGAATACTGTTTCAGAAACGTACTAAGGGGATTTCCCTAAAATGTTATATGTACATATATACATATATGTTTATTCATACATATATAGTATAAAGTATTGATATCAACTTTTTTCAAATAAATTGGCAGCATTACGCAGCATTGATCACCCCCGTAGTTTTGTACCCCTTTGCCATTGATTTAAATTAAAATTCTCACGTTACTTTGTGTGGGATTCAGGGGAAGTTTAGGAGATTTTGAAGTGATCGAAGTGGATCATTTTCACACGCCTCTATTTTTCATGCGTTCTGCATTCGCACCTACAGCCAATTACATTCGTGCAACTGTCAGCCGTTCAATGACAATGACAGCCATGGGGTTAAGTCCTCCCGCCATTTCCCTTAAACATTGAAGCAATCGTTCAGCGATTTTCCCTTATTTGTTTTTTTTTTTGTACCTATGTACATATGTATGTATGTATACAGTATCAGTCTATCTGTGCACTTGCAGAAATGTCTACATATACATATAGATATTAAAAAAAAAAATATTTAAATGAAAAGATGCAAATTGATGAAAATTGTTTCAAATGTTTAATCCAAAGTGAGTAAATGGTTATTATGGCTATGTTGTTAGCATAGTTAATTTTATTGTTTACTTGGAGTAGTATAGTAAAATATTAAATAAATATAGCTTTAAATTGAATACTTTATATATTCCAACTCGCTTTAAAAAGCTATTTATTTAAGCTTTTGAAAGCGATAAACTCCAGACAAGTTTTATACATTTTTTTATGTAGTTGAAATTCTCAAAATTCAATAATTAATGGAAAATAATAGTAGAAAACCCGTTCACAATTAAAATAATTGCAAATATGTATATACATATATGTTATACATAAACATTATATTTTTAAATAGTTTTTTTTCTTTCGAAATATCTGAATTAATCAATAAATTGTTCTCAGTGTTGAGCCAAAAACACAATCGGAACCCAATCCATGCATATGCAGCCATTATGTGAGGGAGATCAATTCAAAAAGGGGGCACCCCTCCTTGCGATGCACTCGATCTGCATAGGATGAATGGCAGGAGGGAAGGAGCCTGCACAGGGGTTATCCTGGACATGTAATGATCGTGGCTGCTGCTGCCTTTGTGCCTCACGCAATTTGTGCTCTGAATAATGCATCCGAGAGCATCGCTATCAATTGCCCTGACCCCTAATAACGAATTCGTGCCCAACTTAATTGCAGACATATTGATGAGGGGCCCAAGGACCAGCACCAGCACCAGGACCAGGACGGATAATCCTCGATACCTTTTTCCACTTTACAGAGTCTCTGTGTATGTTGTATTCTCTTCCTTTGCCATTTGCGTGTCATTTTCTAAGTAGAATTGGCATTTCTTTTATCTACGGCAAAGATCAGATCAGATATCAGAAAAGGTCTATGGACTGGGTCCAGGCAACAACAACAATTGAGAGTAAAAGTAAATGTTGTGTTGATCCATATCAACGTTCGTTTCAGGGATCGTGATCACTTGTTTGTTCAAGTTCTTAGCAGGTTCATCGTCATCGAAATGTTTCTGGTTCGTTGATTTAAACAAAATATGAAATCCTTTTGTTTGCCACACCAACAGGTGGTGGTGGTTGTGGATCGTTTTCCTCGGTCCTCGTCCCGTGTGCTAATTGGATTATGTATTGCTTAATGATCCCCTTCGAGAATGTCGGGTGTTAATCACTTAAGCATCCAGCTTGCCATATTCTGCGGTTCTGCGATTTAACAACTCCGACACAAAGCAAAAAGGAAAGTCTCTTAAATGGGTCAAGTGTATGTATGGCCTCAGGATGGTTTTCTTTCCATAATTTCAAACCATTTTGTTGTGATAAAATAAAAGGTTACATTTTTAAATTATTGCAGGAGGAGCTTTTTTACCTAAAATATTAGTTTAATAGAGCCTTTTCCTGGTATATAATTTATAGATTTAAATGTTTTGCATGATCTTCCTATAATAAATTATACACATAATTTGTTTAACTTTGTTTTCTAGACTGTGTTCCTTACTATATATATCTTTCGATTAATAAATTCTCGTAATATTAAAAAATAATCTCATTGTTTAGGCCATCTATAACTCTCAAGATCTCAGTTGAAGTAACCACGTTGAGAACTCTACGATTTTAATGGCAGGAAGCTAGCCCAGACATTGACTCTGTGTTCTCATAGATCAAATGTCTAGAGTCCCCCTCAAACTGAAAATCGATTAATATACATATACACATGAGAGTGCCAGCTCCCAATGATATTTGTACAATTTGTTAAGCAATTTAATTCTCACACATTTGCTGATTTCTTCACATTTTCTTAAATAAACAAATCGAAGAAACCCTAGTCGGGTGCGGCCCCTACTTCATGATATTCCCACCTCCCCCACAAGTGCTCAGAATGGCGTGAAAACGCTTGTAGTTGGTGGGCATTATTCTCATTTAACAATTGACTGCACATGGATGGGGTTTCCAAGACACTAAAAAACACAGAAACACAAAAACACAAAAAAACAAAACAAAAATAATAAAAAACTAAGAAGAGCACATCAAACAAATTAATTTGCTATTGCCATGGATGGGTGCGCAGGCGCAGGTTACTTTTTTGGTGTATCTCTTTACCTTATTTTTTGGGTGTGTTTTCTTTTAACCGCAGCAGTTTTTCTTTTGGGCTTTTAAGAAAATATATGATTTAAGATGAGATGTTTTCATGATTTTCTTGTCTGGAACTTGGGAACTCTCAATGGATTTGATTTCCTGCCTTCGTTTTGCCTCATTGCACACATTGGTCGAGCTTCGGTGATCAGTAAATTTATGCGAAGCTTCTTGAAGAACTTGTACCTTTAAAAACACTTACAACATAAGTCTTTTGCGTGGGAATTTTCAAGTATTACTTTCTGTTATTAATAAAGAAAACTGATCGTGTGGAACCAGAAAGCAATTATAGATAATAACATAATAGAGTTTATTTGTTTTTTTAATATAAATAAGAATATAGGAATTGTAACAAGTTTGTTTAAGCTCAAATGATTTTCATTTTCACTTTATTAATCTATTAAAATGTGCTTTATATTTTGTTTGCATATTATTTCTTTCTTTCATTATTTAAGTGTTTCTTTTGTAATCTAAAACAAACTGCATTTATTTAAAATTTCTTTAAAGTCCTATTTGTTTTTTCTTGCTATATTTATCGTATTGAATTTCACAGATACACGTACTTCAACATGTCATATTCATCATATTTTTGAAATGCATTTTTGTTTCTTTATTTTTTATGGATTTTTAACTACAAAAAAAAAAAAAGAAAGGAAAGGGGATCGATGGCACTTGAGAGGCAAAAGTATTCCAAGAACGCACGTGTTGCCCAAGTGTTAAAATTTCCATTTGTGGAAAATAAATCAGGACACAGCGGGCAACCAAGTTGAAACTAATTTTATGCATGACTTTTTACACATTCCAGCAATATTTTAGGACAGTTTTTACTTTTGTTTCACAGTCCTCGGCCTGCATTCCTGCCTGCAGTGTTTTTTCCCCCTCTTTTCTTGCATTTTATTTGGTTTTGTGTCGAGTGTGCGGCATTTTATGCACAGTTAAGTTAATCTGCCCTAAAGCGTACTTAACAATCCGCCGGCATGTGTCATCCTCTCACTCTTGGCCGGGCAATGTGACACATGAGACATTGCCCCTCCTGGTTTCCCTCGGGTCTCTTGGTCCGTGCCACATAAAAATAATACCCACTTGAGGGCAGGTCACTTGGATGGCCATATGGGCATTAGGCTCGGGAATTTGGAATCTGGAAACTAAGGCATTTTGGCATATGTCGGGCAGCTAATCAATCCGTTGGTCTCATGGCACTCATAGCACAAGAGATTTATTCAAAAAGTATGTTTAACTCTTCCAAAATTACTTTTTCTTCTGGGCAAGCTCTAGGTCTATAGGTATTTTATGGATCATCTATAATAATAATGTACTTTTAGAACCTTGCAGGGTATTATAATTTAAGTAAGAAGCTTGTAACGCATTGAAGGAGTCATTTCCGACCCTATAAATCATATATATTATTAATCAGCATCAAAAGGCGAGTCGATCTAGCTATGTCCGGTTAAAGAATAAATTTTTTTTATTTTTTCTACATTTTTATCACATCGTTTTATTTGTTTTTTTTCCCAAAAATTGATAAAAATTTAAAATTTTTAAATTGAAAATTGAGTATGCAGATTTAGAAACCTTATAAAAACTAGCACAGAATAGGTTTCTGAATTGAAATTAAGGCAGTTTTGGCTTATTTATGGATATTTTAAGTTTTGATATTTTTAAAAATTATTTATTGATAAATCGGTTTGAATAAAGCGAATATTTTGAATCTTCTTGAAGGCATAAAATGGCCAAAAAGTTATTTCGTGGTGAAAATCTTAATAAAAATACATTTCTTCAATTTTTAAACATTTTATAATATGTTAAATCTTTAAAATTGTCAACAATGTCCAGAATTTAAATTTCTTGTTAATTCATAATTGGGTTTTTAGATCTATTATGAAAAACTAACTTAGCAACGCTTTCCGAATTAAAATTCATATTGACTTGGATTTTCTCGCAAAAATTGTCATATAAA